CGAATAAAATCCGCTCTAATTTCAACCTTGTGAGCTAGCATTTAAAAAAAGGAAAATGTGAACAGTTGCGTGTTAGGATGATTAGAACATTTATTAAAATGCATTAGTTTCATTAAAAAGAAAAAAAGAAAAAAACAAATATGCAAAACTCAAGTAAAAACGTATTAATTTTGCTACTTTTTGCAGCCGAATTTCCACTAGGCGTTGAAATGGCGAAATATTTGGCGTGGTAGGTATTTTTAATGCCCAACTGTGTCAATAAAACTTGTGTCATTTAATGCCTAGTGGAAATCCGGCATTAGTGTATTATATATTAGCCGTGTTTCTTTTTTAACAAATACTTTTTTGAGGGATTCACATAGTCTCAAAAAATTAACACACAACTTTAAAACTACATATATACATAAATACATATGTTATGCTGTTAATAGCCGCCGAAAACGTCGACCTCAGGGCTATATTTTTTAAGTCCTTTTTATATACAAAACTACGCCCTTATAATCTGTGTTAAAACGTCTTCTGTGAATCCACTATGTAGGTATTTGCGCTTAAAATTTGTATCTAAGTTCATTACACAGGTCAACAGAAAAAAATGTTTTTGGTGCCGAGATATCGTTGACGGTTTGCTATTAGGTGTGGATTGTCAACACTAAAAATGGTTTTTATTTTTTATTTTTACTACATGTAAATTGTATAGAACGACAGTTTTGTAAGTTAGCCGTAATCAAAATTTTTGTGTGCGCATTTGCAATTCTTATCGGCACGTTTCTATGAATAAATTGATTTTAATATTATGTCTTCATCGCGTAGAAGTTGTTTCAATGAACTGTGCTGTGACCGATTGAGATAGTGGGTCAGTGGTCAAGGGGGCGCTATGAGGTATGGAGCGGAGCGCCCCTCCAATGGAGGGAACAGAATACTAACTTTGATGACTGTTATTCTGCTAATTTGCGGGGTGTTAATGTTAAAGCGTAAACAGACGGCAGCGTTGATCCGGATTAACTCGGACTTAATTCGGATCAACCGCAGTTAACTCCCGAGTTGATCCGGATCAACACTACCGTCTGTTTATGCTTTTAGATTCAGAAGAACTACCTATTGCAACCCATCATTCAAAGAAATTTTCAATGTTGGCAGCAGTGACATGATTTCGAAGGAATAGCGTCACAAAGCCAAAACCTTTTATACAGAAAAAATTAAATGATTTGATGAGGAATCTAGAACTATCTAAATAGTCTGCAGCAATATTAACTTCAAGACAATGTTGCCAGATTCACAGTTTTTAATGTTAATTAAATTTTTTTAAGCCAGCTTATCATTTTTTTAAACTACCTCCTACAGTTTTTTCGAAATTTCCGATTTGAAAGAATAAACTAAAATTATTCTTTTAGTTTGTTTGTTAGTCAGTTTTTAAGCTAATAGGGGACGTGTAAAGAATATTTTCCCAAATAAATTTGGTGTAGTGGTAAGCAGTGCGCGCTTTCACTCATCAGCACCCGGGTTCAAGCCCTGGTCAAAGCAACATCGCAAAAAATATAGAAACAATATTNCGGCAGGCAATGGCAAACCTGCGAGTGTATTTCTGCCATGAAAAACAGCTTCTTATAAAAATACAATCGCCGTTCGGAGTCGGCGTAAAACTGTTTTACATTAAAGCGCACCCTAGAGGCGTTTTCGCTAAAAATAAATACACAAATAGAATATTTGTTTTTTGTTATTGAATACAAATGAGAATATTAATAAAATATCCCGATTTCTTAAGTTCAATGAACGATTTAGAATGTGTTGATTGGCCTTCGTTTATTGAAGTCACCAAAATTGATCTGGGAAATTGTAAATCGAGTAACTACTCCGAAATCCTAAACGATACGTTTAAAACCTTAGGATGTAATATTTACGCCCATAGAAGAGTACTACCTCGCCACTCATCTTGACCAACTCCCCCTATAAACTAGGGAAGATACATAGGTACCAAAGTCATATGAACGGATCGTCATGTGGGATGCAACGTGATTGCTGCAATACAACTCATTCAGGAAAATCGCGAACAAGAGTTTCTTTTTACATAGTCCAAGCCAAAAAAATTCTATTTTTATAGTCAGGTACTAAGTTAAAAAATAATTATACCTCCTTGGCACCAACACCACTGTTGACCAGTGTTATTATTATTGATTGAAGGCAATTGAAATTACGTACAAAAAATTGTAAAGAAACACAGCTATTAATAAAGTTTAGTGTAATGTTGTTGCGTGATTAATGCATAGATTTTTGCTTTTTTTTTTTGTTTGAGTTTGGTTTTTTGGTAGAGGAATTACACAGACCTGGTGTTGTTGCCGAATTATTGTTATTGTTTGTTAAATGAATGCATTTTTGTCTAGTATTATCATAATTGAATGACGAATTGGTCAATTGGTCGCTTTTATCCGATGGTCTGCGTTCAAAGTTGCCTGCAAAAGAAATCATTCAAGCCATGCAATTTTCAATCGAAACAAACACAATAATACATAATTTGAGTAATACGTATAAATAATTATAACTAATTACGCCAAATACGAATCAAAAATAAAATTCCTTGTTTATACATGTTGGTATGTATATTTAGTTTAATAATTTCTTAGGTATTTTTTAAACTATTTTATTTGGATGCATAATAATGCTTAATATGAATTTGAAAATTACTGAAATTCTAAACTTATGTATGTACATATGTAGGATGCTGCAAAACCAAGTCAATAATTAGTGTATGTATGTATGTATGCCTAAAGTATTTTCGTTCGATTAAAATTTGTATTATTTTGTACTAATGTTGAATAACTTTGCTTTGGTACATTCGGTTAAATATTAATATCAATTATCACCGCGATGCATCAGTACTAAAGACTGTCTCAGAAAAAAATTTATACTTACATATATATTTTGCAATGAACTCATTTTTTTAAATAACGAGTAATGTAAAAAGAAATAAGACAAGTTTTAACTAGTAGTTAATAAAAAAGAAAAATCGGCCCCGGCACCTCGACCGCAAAATTTGTTTGAGTTATACATAAATATTTTTTTTCTGTGTTATAGGTTCTAAATATGAAGCAAATATCTCGCTTCCTGCGAATTTTTTGTGGAGTTATTGCTTTTTATGTAGTAAATATTCATTCCAAATATGAGCCTCATTGAACCATAAATACGGGTTTTTCAAATATCTCGACAGCTGCGCGAACTTGCGGCTTAATTCATCTTTCAAATTTTATTGTTATCGGCGTCTTAGCCATATTTGAAGTTTCAAGTTGCTAGCTCATCGGGAAGTTGACTAAAAATTGATTACAAGGTTGGATTACGCAGGTGAAATTTAATAAAAGCTAAGGCTTTTCGTCGGGTTAAATGTGTTGGATTAGCTTCTTATGGTACAACTGCTACCCCGTTTTCTCGATACCAGTCCATCGTTCTCCTTGATTAGTGAGTTTTTGCTAAATAAGGCCAAACAAAACACAACTATGATGATTGCGAATAAATGACAATAAATGCCATCTCAAGCATTTCGCTATATATGTATATAACCCAAAGCCCGAGAATGCGTACCGGTTTTGGTTTAGTTCTGCACGAGAACAAAATGTAATGTCAAGAACGTTCCCGTAAAAGATCAAAACGGGAACAAATGTATTAAGAGCAGCTTTTATGCAATGTAAAAACCTTGGCAGGGTATTTGTGAAAAATCCGCTATCCATTACTAGGTAAGTAATCGAATTAAGCGAGAAACTAGTTATGCATGCTTTTTTGTCAGTTTTTCCTTTTCTCAAAGTTTTATTTTTATCCTTGGCATGGTTGATTTGGAGGTTCGAACAATTTTCGTCATGTCTCGAATATAGGTGTTTGGTTTTTGCATGCATCTTTTCTTCCCTCATCTGGCTTTCGTTGGGCACACAATCCATTTTTACATCTCAAAATAACGCGTTTTACAGTACTAACGTACTCACATCTACACCTTTTGTTACCTTTGCGTACCGCACAAATTTTTTTTCTTGTTTTGACAAAATTTTCGGACTGGATGAACTGATACAAAATTTTAATTAATTTTGGCAGCCTTTCAAATGTAGGATAAATACGTGATTCAATAATAAATTATTAATTATTGAATAAGGCCAAAGAAAATATTTATAAGAAAGGTATTTTTTCCTGTGACATTCTTAATGCATGTATGTATATGTATAAAATATGCCACCAGCTATATGCAACCGTCAGATTAATGAATCTAATTGCCAAAATGCAACAAACATATAAAATACGAACTAAATTAAATTATGAAAAAATTCTTTATAAATGATCTTAACAAATTATCTAGTTAAAAAAAAAAATCAACCTACATCTTAGAGTTAATATTTGTTTTCAAAGTCATGACATAGCGCTAAAGAAATTATAAATGTTAGCAAATTTATTGTTGAAAACTGACAACTGCTTTGCCCATTAAATCGCGTTCCTGCCCAAACTTCTGTGGCAAATCAAACTGGTTCAGAACTTCCGCCGAACTAGCTCGAAAATGGACGGTACTGGTTCTTCATCTATCCAAATCTATGCCTTCAACTGTTAACCGACTTCACAAAAAGGAGAAGGTTATCAGTTCGACGGAATATTTTTTTTATGTATGTTACCGCGTAACTTTTGGATCAAGTTAACCGATTTCTATAATTCTTTTTATAAAGAAAAGGTGTTACCTCGCAGGTAGTCCCATTCTAATTTGGTTAAAATCCGATCATTGGATAATGATGAGATTAACGATAATCTTACATTTTATATGAGAATTGAAGTCGGTTTTTTTTTGCTTAAAAGTTACTTGTTTAACATACATGTTTAACCATGGTGATGCCCCCTCTGCAGAACTTTGGACCAGTTCTGAACTGGTTCCATTTCGCACAGATCTGGGACAATAGGGATGGCAAAAAAAAAATTATTACTCGATTATTGTATCAAATAATTAATTGCAAAACCAAAAAATTAATTACAATTAATTACAAGATTAATTAATCGATTAATCAGAATTTTTGAATAATTTTGGTTTTAATATAAAAATAATGAAATAACTTTTCCTGTTGCTAGTATTGTTCAAGTGTTTTAGCATTTTATTACAAAGTCTGAAAATTTTTGAAAATTCACCTTTATTGAAATTAGTGATGTGACTTTAAGAAATGGCAGGGTTCTTTTACTCATAAGCCATTTAAGATATTTTGGTAAATCTTTGAAGCGAGATGTAGTACGAATTTTGTTATGAAGAAAATGTTGTGAGTAAGCACGTAATTAATCGATTAATCATAACAGGAAATTCGAATTAAAAAAAATTACTCAATTAATGCTATTCATTTGATTAATTTTGCCATCCCTACTCTCAACTGCCTCTACCGCGATTTGAACTCGCGACCAAAGATGTTACGAGTCGGAGGTCTTCTCACGGAGCTACTTTCGTATTGTGCGAGAAGTGGGAATTCGTACATTTACTTCTTAGCATTCGCATGCTAAATGTGAGAAACTCTGACGACAGCGCAACTAGCACATCAAAAGTTTCAACTCTCCTGTTAACCATATTTTCAAATGGATATCAAACTCCCCTGTTTATTCAGAAAGCTGCAAATTTCAAATCATTTTCAAACGTTTGATATTTGAGAAAGGTCCCTGATTTCAAATCATTCTCAAATGCATATCAAACCTAATTGTTTGCTGGGTTCAAGTGTGTTGATTGAAACCTTGTTCAATGCTGCCATTTGCCAGTCATTGTCAAAGGTTGTTTATATGAGAATTGCGTGAACAAAACCTTTTGGTGCTTCGTCTTGCATTGCAGCAACCTCCATCCCTTCGCACACTTCCTTTTGCCGGTATGTCCTTGTCCGATGCTTGCTCGCCAATATAACAGCAGCAGCAGCAGCAGCAGCAACCCTGACCGAATTGAGGTCACTTTGGGCAGAATCTTGTTTGTGTTAAGCGAAATATAGTCGCCGTCTAAAATTGGTCACAAATGAACAAAACAACATTGTTCGCTTTCAATTTAAGCTTGTGCGTATAGTTTCTATTTTTGGTTATAATGGCCAAGACATTGAATATTTCCTTTCGGACAAATTCGGCAATAGCTCTTGGTGCACAGAAAAGTTGGTGGCGTATGTATATGCAATTTTCGGCATTTACCTTTAAAAATGTTCTGTATAATGTTGACCGTTAGCCAAAAATAGTCATAGACCACAAAAAAAAGTACTGTCATTAACAACTCTTTCGTCTGAGATTTTGAGAAATCGCTTAAATGTATGGCATAAACCCTTGCAAATAGAATTTCCACACGTTTAGGTGTGAAGATAAAATAAGATGTATGGTACTTCGGACCTAAGACGCTCAAGTTAAGAGCAGAGTTGTTATGGATTTAGATACATACCGTCTGATTTAACAGGTGTACGTTGCGGCTAGGCGTTATTTACCTCTACAGTTTTGATATGATTACAGGCCAAGAGGTTGATGTCTAAACTTTTATAGGATCTTTGCAAAGCGAAGGTTTTATAGCAATGAATCGTGTGAAGCGTTATAAAATAATAATAACTATACACGTTGTTGCGTATTCCTATAAAATCTATGTGTCTTTTGGATTCGAAAATAAAAGGCTGCATGATTTCTTTAACGTCGACTTTGAAACAAACATTAAATAGAATTTTCCAAAAAAAAAGGCCTACCATACATGAACAACTTACATAAATAAGCATAAAACATTTAAACATAATCTAAAATGATTCTACCAGAAAGCGAACGTAAGTATGTATGTATATATAGCAATATTGTTCTTTAAAGTAGTACAAATATGCAAGTATTACTTATCAAGTACATATATTGCCTCAGCAACAATATTTGTATGAAATATGTAATATCGTCAATATTGTCCCTGCTTTTAATAACTTACCACCAACAGCACCATTATCGTGCAACATTATTCTCGAATTTGTAAAGAATGGACGCAGCGAAGGTTTCGGTGTCGAACCGATTGACAAGCTGTCCATGTCGGGGCCAGAATCGTCACCCTCGCAGCAAGACAGAGATTCCAGTTCTTGAAAGAGTGCATCCAAATCACGTTCACCACGTAGTGCTGCTGTCCCGCGACTTACTTCACCCTCCAACTCTTCGGAAGCCTTGAAACGTTTGAGCAGCGCGACTATCTTCTGCTTAAAATTGCGTTGTTGCAATGAAATCGTCTGTAAATTGAAGGGTTAGCAAAATAAAGGATTAAAATGGTATTCGTTTATGTTGAGGCATTTTTTTTTTATACAATTCTATACTGGGGTTACCATACAAATAACACTTGTATGTATGTATCACACTGGGAAAATAGGTAAACACCTTATGAGGTAAGCCATGCTTTCTTTCAGTTTTTAGTACCAAAATTGTCATCATGGCCAATGTCATCTACTAGTAGAGCTCAAAATGAACACCTCCGACGACACATTACGTTGTCAGTTGCAAAATAACGTGCAGCCGAAGGAGCAATGAAAGAAGGTACGCAACACCCTCAGCAAAAATCAACGGTAATTTTTAGCGACTTGAAACTTACTTTATCATACTAAAATTTAATGGGCTATAAAACTGCAAACTCACAATGATTTGAAAAATTTTTAATTTCGATGCACATTTTTTGGTATTTCTTGCAATTTCCCGGGTTCTGTATGAAATTGAAAAAATGTTGAATGAACTATATTTTGACAAAACAACTAAGAAAAATTTGGTATGGAAAATATAAATAAATAAAATCGTTAACCGTTAGGGTATGCATATTTTTGACACTGACTATAACTTAAGTCATTGTCTTTATGATGGTTCCTTAATATATTTTAACTACATTGCATTTGAGTATGGAGAGGCAACTATCTGGAAGTATTTTACATAAAAAATTTACTAAGTATTGTCCGGTTTGTAGTTGCAGTTAAAGAAAATACATGAAAAGGCACGATTTTTTTTAAATTCGAAAAAAAAATGTAAATATTTCAAAAACGGTGACACTTTTACCTGAAAATGTTTTGTTTATCAGGGAGCTCACCCCCGCCTTCAAACCCATCTTTTATGACGCACAGATTTTAGCCTTTGTTAGGTGCCAATTTTCGCAAACATTTATATAATTAACCAGTTCACTCTCACCCACTAAAGTCTTTGCTCTTTATGCGTATGTTTGTATTAATTGTACAATTTTCACTGCCATTTTGTTTGTGGGTATTTCGTGTCACGTTGATGTATTAGTTATGTTTTGATACTTAATATTTCCATTCGTCACATTTCTGTAAGTTTGTGCATCATTTGCTTCGACTTTTTCGACATTGAAGCAGGATTTGCTATTATTAGCCGTGGTTATGCGGCTACTTAGTACCACAGTTCATATGTACGAGTCGTATGTACATATGTACATATGTATGCACAAAAAGTACAGAGCCGCAAAGCGCGTAGAAACACATGGATTTATGTGCCGCATGAAAGGGTTTTGCTTTCAAAGCCGATTAATGTACGAGGGTAGTTCCAAAAGTACTTGTGGCCTATTTCATAAAAGTGAAAGGTGAGACAATTCTAGATTTTTTCCAGAAACTTTTAGATCTATCTATAGACGCCTATAGGTAACTGTGAAACTTTTGGGAATGCAACAGTGACAATACTGGGATATTGTCTGACAATGGT